CAAGACACTTTGACTGTCACAAAACAGAGAGACATACTCTTGATTGTACCTAAGCTCCTCCAATAGCATCTTCAACCAAATTGCTTCTTTCTGGCTTGTATAGCTGTTACATATTCTGCTTCTGTTGTGGATGTAGCCACAACTGACTGCAATTTTGAAACCCAGCTTACAGCTCCACCAGCAATTTTGAACACATATCCTATAGTAGATTTGTTTTTATCCAAATCCCCTGCATAGTCAGAATCTACATACCCATTGATTAGTAAATTTGATCCTCCGTAATATAATGCAATATTTGAGGTCCCTTTGATGTATCTCAAGATCCTCTTTACTGTATTCCAATGCTCTTTGCCTGGATTTTCCATGTACCTACTAATACTCCCACTGCTTGTGCAATATCTGGTCTTGTGCATATCATAGCTAACATTAAACTTCCCACTGCTAATGCATACGACACTCGAGACATCTCTCCTCTCATCTTCACTGCTAGGACTCATACTGGAGGATAATTTGAAGTTAATAGGAAGAGGGGTAGAAATTGGCTTACAATCTTGCATGTTGAATCGTGACAAGATCTTTTTCAAGTAATTCTTTTGTGAAAGCCAAATCTTCCTATTACTTTGTCTCAGTGTATTTGCATCCCTAGAATCTTGTTTGCTAATCCCAAGTCCTTCATTTCAAATTCCCTAGCCAGTTGTACCTTCAATTCTTCAATATGATCTTTGTTGGGTCATGCAACCAACATGTCATCCACATACAACAGCAATATAACAAAATCGTTATCACCAGACCTCTTGAAATAAGCACAAGGGTCTACATTAAGTCTATTGTATCCAAGGCACATAATAAAGGAATCAAATCTCTTATACCAACACATCGGCGCCTGATTTAGACCATACAGAGATTTGTTTAACCTGCAAACCAAGTTCTTTTTTTCTTTTTCTTCAAAACTTCAAGCTGGAGCATGTAAATCTCTTCTTCAAGATTTCCATGAAGAAAAGATGTTTTAACATCTAGCTGCTCTAGATGTAAGTTCAATGTAGCACACATTGTCAAGACTACTCGAACTGTTGTTAGTCGAACCACAGGAGAAAAGATTTCATTGAAATCAATACATTCTTTTTGAGTATATCTTTGACCACCAATCTTGCACGATACCTCTCCACTTGATCATCACAATTTCGCTTGATTTTGAAGACCCATTTATTACCAATTGGCTTCCTTCCTTGTGGTAGTGGCACAAGGTCCCATGTATTATTTTTATGAAGGGCTTCAATTTCTTTTTGCAACGCCATCATCCACAACGAAGCATCTGAGCTGTTTATTGTCTCATCGTATGTTGATGGCTCACCGTCCTCTGTTAAAAGGTAGTATACAATATTTCCTTCTATAACATAATCTGAGTACCAATTGGGACGTCTTCTCACACGATCTGATTGACGAGTTGTTGGAGCTTCAGAACTCTCTGGTTCTTGTTCATCATGTATTGGTTCTGCTTCAGAAGAATCTCCTTGTTCAACCTCCTTTTCCACATGTATATGTGTAGTCTCTGACTTTTCAGTGCTACCATCTTCTTCTTTTCTTTGTAGCTTATCTTCTATAAAGATAACATCCCTGCCAATGATCACTTTGCGGACAGTGGGATCCCACAAGCGATACCCCTTTACACCATCAACATACCCCAAGAATTTACATTTCCTGGATTTTGGATCCAGCTTTGAAATTTCTTGGGAGTTGTACATCACGTATACAATACTTCCAAATACATGGAGGTTTGAATAATCAGCTGGTTTACCAGTCCACATCTCATTGGTGTCTTCAGTTCTATTGCAGTTGATGGAGCTCGATTCACCAAATAACAGGCGATATTGACTGCTTCTGCCCAAAATAATTTTTCTAGGCCTGTATCCCTCAACATTGCTCTTGTTCTTTCTAACAAGGTTCTGTTCATATGCTCTGTCACTCCATTTTTTTGAGGAGTGTTTGCCACTGTGAACTGTCTTTTGATGCCTTCTTTCCTGCAAAAGTCATCAAATTCTTCGCTTGTGTATTCTCTCCATTATCTGTTCTGAAACACTTGATCTTATTTCCAGAATCAAGTTCCATCCGCGCTTTGAAGTTTTTGAAAGTGGAAAACACATATGACTTCTTCTTAATAGGGTTGTAGTCATCAATAAATGAGACAAAGTATTTTGCTCCGCCTAGGGATGTAACTGGTGCTTGCCATACGTCAGAGTGAACCAATTCTAGAACACTTTTGCCTCTAGAATTTGACGTATTGAATTTCAACCGGTGCTGCTTACTTGTTATGCAATGTTCACACAAAGAAAGTGATACCTTTGTTAAGCCTGGAAGTAGCTTTTGCTCCACAAGGATTTTCATTCCTTGTTCTGACATGTGTCCAAGTTTCTGATGCCATAGTATTGTAGAATCTAAACTACATGAGGTAACAGAGGCTTCTGCTTCTATCAAAGTCTCTCTCTTCAGCATGTACAAGTTTGCAGCTATCTTTTCACCTTTCAGTACCACAAGCGCTCCACGGAACACCTTCATGATTCATTTCTGTGTTTCAATCTTGCTTGCATTATTATCCAACAATCCGTAGGATAATAAATTTTTCTTCAGGTCTTTCACGTGTCGCACATCTCGAACAACTTTAATTGTTCAATCATGCATCTTTAATTTGATGGTTCCCACGCCAACGATCTCTAAGGCATGATCATTGCAACTATACACAAATCCTCATGAGACAAGTTCATAATGATGAAACCGTTCTCTTCTCGAGGTCATGTGATATGTTGCTCCCGAATCAATTAGCCATATATCTGCATATCTCTTTCTACCTTTCGCGGTGGTTGACGCTTCACAGCATATATCATTTCCATCATCTGAAGTGTTTGCGGTATTACCTTGTGGATTGGAGTTTTTATTTAGACTCCAACAATCCTTCTTCAAGTGACCATTCTTTCCACAGTTGTAGCACTTTAAATTCTCCTTGCTTCTCGACTTTGATCTACCATGTTTGTGACTGCTGCTTTGGCCACGTTCCGTTGATCTCCATCTCATCCTTGTTCTTGCGCCGATTTTCTTCTTGTAGAACAACAACTGCAACGTCATCGAAGACTAGACTGGTGACATTATTGTTTGTCAAGTTGATGATGAGTTGATCATACGAATCAGGTAGACTTTGAAGTAGAAGTTCAGCACGTTCTTGTTCTCCTATTGTACATCTTAAGGATGTAAGCTGAGAAAATAACGTGTTCAGCGTGTTTAAGTGCTCCGTCACTGAAGTAGATTTGGCATCCGGAGAGTATACAATTTCCTCTTAAGGAAAATTTTATTGTACAACGATGTGGCCTCGTACAATTTGGTGAGATGATCCCATATCTCCTTAGTTGTCTTCTTCTCCTCGATGCTTGACAATACTTCATCTGCTAATGCTAGATGAAAGTTGGCCATAGCATTCTCGTCCATTTCGATCCATTTGTTGTCATCTGTGAAATCTACCGGCCTTTCTCTGATAGCTGCTAGACACCCGTCTTTCCTCAGGATGGCCTTCATCTTCAATTTCTACAATGAGAAATTTCTCCCATTGAATTTTTCAATATCAAATTTCGTTGTCATAGCTTTTATTACGGATAACTCCCACTATTTCACTATCGTGAATAGTTCTCTAGAATCTTCAAAGAATGAGTAATAACTTCTTACTTTCTTATGTTGGATGATCCACCTTTTGGTGGCAACCACAAAGACAATAAGCAGATATTAAATACTCAATTCTGGCTCGGATACCAATTGTTGCGGAATACAGCTATCGGATAGAGCAAAATCGCAACTGATAATTTTAAAAAATAAAAATGAAGATAAAAAGAGACACAAAATTTACGTGGAAAACCCCTAAATAATATAGGGTAAAAACCACGGGCAACGGTAGAAGAATTTCACTATGAGAAAATAGGAATTACAACTTCTCTTGATCTACCAAAGAGAAAACAATGATAATTCTCTCTTGATAAAAAGGAGAAAACAACTCTCAAGAAACTCTCTAAATTCTCTAGTATTAGAAGAAAGCTAGAATGCTTTGGGATGGTTTTGAAGCTAAATGAGCTAGGATATTTATAGTTGAAGCTTAAGGACTAATTTGTAAATATCCTAAATTACAATGACTAAAAATAATTTTACCATTTTCCAAATTTCCACAAATGTTGCACCTTTTTGACCAATTCCATTCGGTGGAATTGTTTATTGCACCTTTCGGTTCTTTGCTTCAATTTTCAACAATGTTCATATCAATTTTTATTTTATTGTAGTTGCATGGTTTAGTACAGAGCTTCAATTTAAAAAGGAATTAATTTATATTCAAATCGTTATGATTTCACGTTTTAATCATCTTTTCATACTTGGTACAAATGTTTTTGGTGGAAGAAAATGAAGATTTTGATTATCACCTCAAGTGTAAGAAATTAAAGTTAATCCATCTATATTATGTTGACGGTCTCTTAACTTTCACCAAGAGTAATTTTGATATAATACTGACAATTTATCTAAAAAGAATTTGATTATGTTTTTTATATTAGAAAAAAGTTTGAATATTTTATCTTAAGAACACTGATGGAAAGTATAATTCAAGATGCCATACTGAACTTTAGAAGCCGCTGCTGTTAACTTTTCAATCTCCTTCATGGCATCCTTACCCTTATATTCCAGTTTCTTCCCATCGGTATTATACTTAAAAAGGAACTAGTACCGACTTCACAAAATAAATCAGAAGAGCAAAACTTTTTTATCACATTTTACATGCTAGACGTTCTATATATATATATATACAAAGTTTGGATTAGTAGCTCATTGCCTAGTGCCCTTCTATAGTTCCATGTTTAAGTAAAAAAAAACTTCCCAAGCATATGTAAAACGACAACGTCTCAAGCATCCATCAGCAGCAGTGCCAAGTGGCAACGAGGCACGATTATTTGTGGTGCTTAAAAAAACATGTACAATTTTAGATAAAACGGTTTAGTTTGGCCGGGAATCGTGACAGGTGAAATCTGAATGGCTGTGACTGCTCCGGCACTGAACCTGCAACTCCTTTGTTTCTCAAACCTAAAGATAAGAGCAAAGTCAAGGCCATGGTTTCCTCAAAGAGCAACCCTTTCGAATTCTCAAAAGAAAGATCCTAACTTCATACTTTCTTGCTCTTCGTCTCAAACTTCACAGTCCCCTGAGGCCAATGTCCAGACTGCAGAGTCTTGTGTAAACCTTGGGCTGTCCTTCTTCTCCAAAGGACGCGTAAGTATATAAAGATTTTCTCATGTTGATGTCTTCAAACTGGGTACAATTAGAACCAAAGTTGTTTTTTTTCCTTCTTGCAAAATGGGTTCTCTTTTCTTTTTGTTCACATTATAGAGCAGGATTTAGAGATCGAAATGGAGCTGGTTTTGTGACTCTTATGCAAATTCGTCCTATCTTAACAAGCAGTAAATTTTATCATGGATAATTGAGATTGGATTTTTAATTTATTGATTTCCATACATTGATCCTTTAAAATACTTTTATGAACGCATAAACATTGATCAGATTTTTCACAAGTTACACCATACTTTTTTATTTGTAAATTCTAGTCTTTTTTTTTTTTGTAAAAGTGTTAGATATTTCAGGTTAAAGATGCTTTAGTCCAGTTCGAAACTGCACTTAGTTTAGATCCAAACCCTGTGGAAGCCCAAGCTGCTCTCTATAACAAAGCCTGCTGTCATGCCTATCGGTATGGATTTCTGATGCTTTTAGTGATTATAATTTCAAATTACCATGCATGATTCTAGAAATTAATATTTGCTTTAGAAAATCTCTATGTTTGAGTCAAAGTCCCTGGATTCTTGTTATATGAAATCTGAAGGTTCTGGGAATCTAGTTTGAGGCACATATATGGCTTTATTATAATACTCTTCTGCATTAGGCTCAAGTGATGATTTAATACTAAATTGTTCTTACTAACAATCTTTTTTTTTTCATTTGTTTTTATTGAGAAAGAGGGGAAGCAAAGAAAGCTGCTGATTGTCTCCGTGCTGCTTTGAGAGACTACAACCTCAAGTTTGGTACAATTCTCAATGATCCCGATCTGGCCTCCCTTAGAGCATCGCCTGAGTTCAAGGAATTGCAAGAAGAGGTTTGTTGCTTAAGTTTTCTTCCGGACACTCTTCTCTCCCATTCCCCACCAAGATATTCCAACTGCATAGCTATGGAATCACATGAAAGTAATTTGTCCACGTGCGGATCAAATCAATAAAATGTTGGTATTGCTCATAATTATTTATCTTTCCAGGCCAGGCTGGGTGGAGAAGATATAGGCTACAGCTTTCGAAGAGATCTCAAACTTATCAGTGAAGTCCAAGCCCCGTTTCGAGGCGTTAGGAGGTTTTTCTATGTGGCATTCTCTGCAGCTGCTGGAATTTCGCTGTTCTTCACTGTACCCAGGCTAATTCGTGCTATTAAAGGTGGCGATGGTGCTCCTGATATTTGGGAAACTGTTGGCAATGCTGGCATAAATATTGGAGGTAAATTGAGAGATGAGTATGTCAGGATATATATACAGATATGTCGTTTTAGGAGTTAATCTCTCTTTCTCTCTTATTGTTATTGTTATTGTTATTATTATTTTTTGTTCTGTCGGACTTTGTTGGTATTACCATAAAGCTAATAGTTTGTAACTGGCTTTCTAAAATGACTAAGTTCTTGAATCAGCTATCTTACAGGTATCATTGTTCTCGTGGCATTATTTTTCTGGGACAACAAGAAGGAGGAAGAGCAACTTGAACAAATATCCCGAAATGAAACTCTCTCTAGGTTGCCTTTACGCCTTTCCACCAATCGGATCGTTGAACTTGTGCAGCTACGAGACACCGTTAGGCCAGTTAGTATTAAATTTCTCCCTTTTCATTTGAATATATCTTCCAAGATCTTGCTGCTTCATGCTTGCAAACTTTAGATAGATCGTTATAAATGATATGTCTGCATCTATCGTATTAAAAAATAATGTTACTGACCATAAGCAAATTAAGAATTCAAAACCTTCATCTCATTTCATCTAAAGATAAAATTAGATCCCTTATACTGGATTTAGTAAACATACTGGACGAACTTCCAAAATAATAAAAAATGTTACAGTTTAAGTTTATAATTAATAAGTGAAATGGCACACCCACCTGTTAAAGCTCTATGTGTTTCTTTAATGTTGGTTAGGTGCGCTGTGAGTACTCCTGTGTTGTGAACAACCATAGCTATTATCAGTTTTGTTTCTGTTACTACATTGGTTACTGAATGCTACTGCTTGGAGTGGTGACTGAGACAAAGATGAGAAGTTGGAAGGCAAAACTGAGACCTATACGCTTAGATCAAAAGCATTTTACACTTTCTGTAGAACATTACATTAGTATTGAGTGGAGTGTATATGCATCTTAGTGCACTGCCAGTCCTATTTGGTCATCAAAATGAATGTCAACTGCGACTTAAACTTGTATATTGCTAACTTGCATGCTGATGTGTTCTTTATGCTTCTCCTATCTATTTGGTTATTCTCACTGCATTCTGATTGAAGGTTGGGTTCAGGTTATTTTATCAGGAAAAAAAGAAACTGTTTCTTCGGCTATACAAAAGGCTGAGAGATTTCGAACTGAGCTCCTCAGACGAGGTGTTCTTCTAGTTCCTGTCATTTGGGGTGAAAGTAAAACACCACAAGTGGAGAAAAAAGGTTTTGGTGTTTCTACTAAGGCAGATGCTGCTGCTCTTCCTTCTATTGGGGTAAACTACAAGTTCTAACCTATTGTAGATTAGTAGCCATACAAGGATAATTCTTGTCCACTATTACATTGTCAGTGTTCTTATAGTTATTACGACTTCTTAGAAGTTTACTTTGTGGCGTATATGGGATGTACCATGCATGTAACTGTGTCTTTATGCTCTGGTGTACTTGTTCTGTTATACCACATAATCATTTGGTTGCTGTCTTATATTAATCAATTTTACATGGAACTTTTGGCTCTGGGAAGATTAATGCATGGCCCTGGTGAGGTTTTTGATTAAATTCTCTTCTCCAAACTTTTTATCTCTTGCTTTCATGGCAGGAGGACTTTGAGAAACGAGCACAGTCTATAACTGCAAAATCAAAGCTGAAAGCTGAAATTCGATTTAGAGCTGAGGTTGTATCACCTGAAGAATGGGAGAGGTCACCTGCTACTCTATATTTATTATTGTTTATTCTGATTTGTTTTTAATATTAGAAAGGTTTTTCTATTATGTACCTTCTGTAAGTTTATATATATATATATACACACACGCGCGCGCACACACACACACACACACACACATACACACACTGAAGATTTTTACTTGCTCAGTTGGATCAGGGATCAACAAGAGGCTGAAGGAGTTACTCCTGGTGAGGATGTGTACATAATTCTGCGCCTTGATGGTCGAGTTCGAAGATCAGGAAAAGTAAGAAAATTTTTGGATTTCTACCTCTTCTTTGGCTGTTAAATAAATCTATCTTATAAAGCTCCCTAGCTATCAGTACTAAATTCTTTGGATGACATGAATTTACGACTATCAACTCTTAAAGTAGCAACATTTTTGCCCTTCAGGACATCTTAATTTGTCTTTACCACATGTGATGTGGGTCAGTTGCAAACTAAGCGACATATTCTTCATCTTAGATTTCAAATACCTGTAATGCAATTTTGGATTCCTTGCCCGCAGGGAATGCCTGATTGGTCACAAATAGTGCAGGAGCTGCCACCAATGGAAGCATTGCTAAGCAAACTTGAAAGATAGAATTTGTGTTGTCAACCCTTATATTATGTGCTTCAATCTGTGATGCTAGTCTTTCTTGTTTCTGATTATTTCTGCATTAGACAAGCTTTCGATTTTCTGAGTTCTTTTACACAACAGGGGATTCTAAATCCATATTTGAAGCAATGCATATTTCATGCTTTGTAAATTAGAGCATTCGAGTTTTGAACACAATAAAAACCTTAATTTCACTGTTGTTGAGCGTTTAACAATGTTTAATCAGTTACTTTTTCCTCTCTATCTCCTCTTTTCATTTTAAAGGGTGAGAGGTTGGCTTCATGGTGTGCTTTATTGCACCCTTTCTACCAGAATAAAGTAAGATTTTTCATTAGGATATTACCACTCCTTCCCCTCATGGCTACATCATTAGGCTTTAACACAGATATCTTGATTGAAATCATTTAATAATTTAATGGTTTAATTGATATAATTCATAATTTAATGATTAAAACAGAACACCCCAATAATTTAGTGACCCAAGGTAGTTTACCAAAAAAAAACGTAAGTCATCTTTTGCAAATGAATAAAGAAGAAATATTTCAAAATGGCTGGCACCAAGCTGTTTATAACACTCATTGCTTACCTGGAACTCAGAACTGATCGAAACTGACAAGGAAAGCCAAGCGGTTATGTATCTTCGAGTTTTCACATTACCATTTCTGTTCTTGTATCAGGTTTTGAGGCGGTCATCCATTTACAAATAAAACAAACAAGTTTCTATGTATCTATCGAGTTGATTTTCACATTTTACAAGTCTTTGAACATATCAGCTACCCATATCACTTAAAAAACATTTCTTTTTTCTTCCATTGTTGGGTTAGGTTGTTCTTTTTTTTTTAAATTATTGTTATTCTATTTGTTCTTTTTATTAGTCAATGGATTAGAACAGCCAAACTCTTGCAGGTTGATTTAATACGAATTCAAACATGAATTTCGTCTTTAAAATATGTGTCCTACTACTTCATCCAATACTATCATTGCCTTCATTTGTGCAATACTACATTTGTTCCATGTAATATGTGTAAATATTTTAATTTTAATTAATTCTTTGAACCATAACAATGAAAACAGAAAACATATAATCTTGGTTTTCAGCTTGTTATATTATCATATTCAGTATTACAAAGTTTTGAAGTAACCCTATTTTGAAGCGTTCTTCAGATGTTGCCTTATTTATTTATTTATTGGTTTAGTGGTGGTTTGTTCTTTGTTTGTAAATATAAAAGTAACCTAATCATGGGGCCGATCTCATTAGTGATTAGTCCTTGTCAATCTTCCAACTCTTCTATTAGCAGCTTTAAAACAAGTTGCCGCACCCTCTTCTCCTCTTGTCCTGACTTCAACAACAACATCAAAGAACAATAAACGACACCCAAAACAAAATAAACAACATCAACAACATCATGGGGTATCCCTCTGGCAGAAGTCTTTGCGACCCTGATCATCGCCATGTCGACCGTCGACGCGAGCGGGGAACACCATTTGAGCTGGATTCCAACCAAGTCCGGCTGCCAGGCCTTGATGGGTGATTGCATGGCTGAGGATGAGTTTGAGATGGAATCCGAGATTAACAGACGCGTATTGCAGACCACACGGTACATAAGCTATGGTGCTCTGCAGAGGAACACCGTGCCATGCTCGCAGAGGGGTGCTTCGTACTATAACTGTCAACCGGGAGCACAAGCTAACCCTTACAGTCGAGGCTGCAGTGCCATTACTCGTTGCCGGGGATAAGGTTTTTCACCCTCCTTTTTCTTTCGGTGTCATTGGTTTATCTACTTTTGTTGTTGAAGTCTCCTTGTTATTCTTTGACCTTTTAAGTTTAAATAAAATGGAGGAACGTGTATTTTTCTAACAAGATTAGAATTATGATCATGACCTACTTTCAGTTTATTCATGGTGACAACATATGATCATGTCTGGTTCTGATTTCCGAATGAAAAATGAGTTAAGAATGTTATCTTCATAAAGCAATTCAAGTAATAAAATCTGGGATTGTGGAGCAGAAATGTTAACAAGAGACCTCATTCCATTAATTCCCTCTATAAATTGACAAATAGACGGTACATTACCTACTGGTGCTAAAAGCAGATAATTGTTTAATCCCATATCACATAAGAACTACTTAATACAAAATAAAAGGGACACTCGGTAATATCCCTGATCTCTCTCCAATAGTATTCTCAAACAAAGCAATATATCACCAAATTTCAATCATAACCATAGAAAACTGTTAAAAACACTGTGACCAAGTTTTATTCCGATCCTTCCTCTTGCTTTGCTTCATCCGACATTTGGTTCGGTGGGGTTAATGGGATGGAGAGCCCTCCACTCCCATCTCAGCTTTTAGGTCATTGATGTTCTGCTCCAGCTCGTTTATACGGTTTCCCATTTTATCAAGTGCTTCGAAGTTAAGTAAACGGTAGATGTCCCATATTTCGCAATAATACCGATGTAGAAAACTATTTCCATTCAAAGATACTATCTATTTCTATTTAAAGTAGTGCTACAATAGAGCAAAAACATAACAAAGTTTCAAGCTTGTTCAAATCTGGCTAGTTCACACTTCACACACATTCTCACATAGCTTTTTAGCCTTATGGCCTATATTTCCCTACAGGCCAATAAGTAGACTTAAGAAACTAAAAGCACATATTGCTTTAGGCTCAAGAATGAAGCTAAAAAGGATAAATTGATGTGAACCTATCCTTTAACTAAAACTTCATTCTCGAAGCAACTCGGCAACATTTCATACATTCCACAATGCTGCTATCTCAGCCGAAAAAACCAAAACACTTCAACGAAATTTAAGAACAAGTGAAAAGGATATTCTTTGTGATAATGGAATCCGACATTGTTTGAAACCTAGATTGCTGCAACAGAATGAATACTTGTCAATAGCAGGAAAATTATTCCAACAACAAAGTCCAATTATATAAACTCACCATTTGTTGAAGAAGATTCTGCACCTGCAAAAGGTAGTCAAAGAAAGCATGAATAAAGATCGGGATGTCAAAAACCACAACAAATAACTGATGAATTACATCAAATGGTACTAGCAGAACAACAAACATTAAAAAGCAGTTTATCATTCATGTTATGAAATGGGTTTTATGAACTCACGAAAACAGTCATATCAGCAGCACTTTGCTTTGAATCCTCAGAGTTATGTCCGTCCTGCAAAATGTATACCAGTCAGCACATACCGCGCCAGCATTGGCATATGACATTATGAAGAGAGAAAAAAACACTAACTCTGATTGTTTAACATAAAGCATGTGGTTGATCAAATTGTCAAATATCTCAAAACCATAATACTCTATCAACTTAAAACAAATCAATAAAAAATTTTGGGGTCTAGAACAAATTGTTAAAACCCCATGAAGATTCAAAAGTTTTTATTTTTAAAAAAAGGGGGTCTAGAACAAGAACAAGTAAAAAAAAGAAGGCTCTTTTTTATCACAACAAGCATTATGATTACAATTTTGGATCGTAAAAAATTCTGGAAAATTATAAGAATTAGAGGAACTGATAGGAGGAAGATGAACAGCTCTATAATTGAAATTGAACAAAAATTAAAAAGAATAAGTAAATAAATTTTACCATTGCTGGGCTGTGGTTTTTGATTAGCTGTTCACACCGCACCTCAGTTACTAACCGGTGTTTTAATTCGAACACAAGTGAATGCTGCTTTGCTTATTTTAAAGACGGATGGTCCCGTTCCTTTTTCATCCCGGCCTACGCCTTTAATTTACCCATATGCCACTCCTCTTTAACTTTTTTTTTTGTCTTTTAAATACTTTAATTCGTTTTATTAGAACGGTAAATGAGTAGATACAGATCGCGAGCTATTTGAGTTTGATTCAGTTAAAACTCAATTGATACTTGAATGGAATAGACTCGATTCAATCTCAAATTCAATTCTAATTTTTATGAGCCGAAGCGAGTTAACTTTATGTGTTTAAGACTATATTATTTGTTGCGGAATATGGCTATTGGATAGAGTAAAATCGCAACTGATAATTTGAGAAAATAAAAAAAAAATAAAGAAGACACAAATTTTACGTGGATAACCCCTAAATAATATAGGGTAAAAACCACGGGCAAAGGTAGAAGAATTTTACTATGAGAAAATAGGAATTACAACTTCTCTCGATCTAACAAGAAGAAAACAATGACAATTCTCTCTTGATAAAAATGAGAAAACAACTCTCAAGAAAACTCTCTAAATTCTCTAGTATTGGGAGAAAGCTATAATGATTTGGGATGATTTTGAAGCTAAATGGGTTAGGGTATTTATAGTTGAAGCTTAAGAACTAATCTTGTAAATACCCTAAAGTACATAGACTAAATTTATAATTTTCTCATGCCATTTTTCAACCAAATCATGCTGCCTAATTTTGAATCACCTACCGGGTACCAAATTAGACTTGGACTTTCAACAATCTCCCACTTGAAGATTTGATTGGAATAATCATATCTTTACACTATTCTTTCTACCTTGTACCTTCATGTTGCTTACGTTTCTGACATGCTACAAGAGGATCGACACCAAGTAAATTTATCAGCATTGATTGCTTTCGTCATGAAATTTTCTATGTTGTCTTTAGTATGGATTTTCTGTATATCTATCGTCTCTCCTTCCACCTTTTCACGAATGAAATGGTACGGGCGTATGTGTTTTGTCATTGAATGAAATGTTGGATTCCTTGCTAGATGCAAGGCGATTTGACTATCACAAAACAGAGAGACATACTCTTGATTGTGCCCAAGCTCCTCCAATAGCATCTTCAACCAAATTGCTTCTTTACTGACTTGTGTAGCTGCTACATATTCTGTCTCTGTTGTGGATGTAGCCACAACTGATTGTAATTTTGAAACTCAGCTTACAGCTCCACCAGTACCTTTGAACACATATTATGTAGTAGATTTACTTTTATCCAAATCCCCTGCATAGTCAGAATCAACATACCTATTGATAAGTAAGTTTGATCCTTCGTAACATAATGCAACATTTGAGGTCCCTTTGATGTATCTCAAAATCCTCTTTACTATATTTCAATGCTCTTTGCCTGGATTCGCCATATACCGACTAACCACTCCCACTGCTTGTGCAATGTCTGGTCTTGTGCATTTCATAGCGAACATTAAACTTCCCACTACCGATGCATACGGTACTCGAGACATCTCAATCCTCTTTTTTCACTGCTAGAACTCATACTGGAGGATAATTTGAAGTTAATAGGAAGAGAGGTAGAAATTGGCTTACAATCTTGCATGTTGAATCGTGACAAGATCTTCTTCAAGTAATTCTTTTGTGAAAGCCAAATCTTCCTATTACTTCTGTCTCGGTGAATTTGCATCCCTAGAATCTTGTTTGCTGATCTCAAGTCTTTCATTTCAAATTCCCTAGTCAGTTGTGCCTTCAATTTTTCAATATGATCATTGTTGGGTCCTGCAACCAACATGCCATCCACATACAACAATAATATAACAAAATCGTTATCATCAAACCTCTTGAAATAAGCACAAGGGTCTGCATTAAGTCTGTTGTATCCAAGACACATAATGAATGAATCAAATCTATTATACCAACACATTGGCGCCTGTTTTAGACCGTACAGAGATTTGTTTAACCTGCAAACTAAGTTCTTCTTTTCTTTTTCTTCAAAACCTTCAGGCTGTAGCATGTAAATTTCTTCTTCAAGATTTCCATGAAGAAAATCTGTTTTAACATCTAACTACTCTATATGTAAGTTCAATGTAGTACACATTGCCAAGACTAGTCAAACTGTTGTTAGTCGAACCACAGGAGAAAAGATTTCATTGTAATCAATACCTTCTTTTTGAGCATATCCTTTGACCACCAGTCTTGCACGATACCTCTCAACTTGATCGTTACCATTTTGCTTGATTTTGAAGACCCATTTGTTACCAATTGGCTTCCTTCCTTATGGTAGTGGAACAAGGTCTCATGTATTATTTTTATGAAGGGCTTCAATTTCTTCTTGCATTGCCATCATCCACAGTGAAGCATCTGAGCTGTTTATTGCCTCCTAGAGTATTGATAGCTCACTGTCCTCTGTTAAAAGGCAGTATACAATATTTCCTTCTATAACATAATCTGAGTGCCAATTGGGACGTCTTTTCACACAATCTGATTGACGAGTTGTTGGAGCTTCAGAACTCTCTGGTTCTTGTTCATCATGTGTTGGTTCTGCTTCAGAAGAACTCCTTGTTCAAACTCATTTTCCACATGTATCTGTGTAGTCTTTGACTTTTCAGTGCTACCATCTTCTTCTTTTCTTTGTAGTTTATCTTCTACAAAGATAATATCTTTGCTGATGATCACTTTACGGGCAGTGGGATCCCACAAGCGATACCCTTTTACTCCATTAATACAATTTTAGTGAGATGATCTCATATCATTCTAATTGTCTTCTTCTCCTCGATGTTTGACAATACTTCATCTGCTAATGCTAAATGAAAGTTTGTCATAGCATTCCCATCCATTTCGATCCATTTGTTGTCATCTGTGAAATCTATCGGTCTTTCACTGATAGATGTTAGACAATCGTCTTTCCTCAGGATGGCCTCCATCTTCAATTTCCACAATGAGAAATTTCTTTCACTGAACTTTTCAATATCAAATTTCGTTGTCATAGCTTATAATACGGATAGCTCCCACTATTTCACTATCGTGAATAGTTCTCTGGAACCTTCAAAGAATGGGTAATACCTTCTTACTTTCTTATGTTGGAGGATCCAACTTTTAGTGGCAACCACAAAGACAATAAGTAGATATTACACACTTAAATCTGGATCTGATGCCAATTGTTGTGGAATACGACTATCGGATATATCAAAATTGCAACTGATAATTTGAGAAAATAAAGATAAAGAATACACAAATTTTACGTGGAAAACCCCTAAATAATATAGGGTAAAAACCACGGGCAAAGGTAGAAGAATTTCACTATGAGAAAATAGGAATTACAACTTCTCTCGATCTAACAAGGGGAAAACAACTCTAAAGAAAACTCTCTAAATTATCTAGTATTGGGATAAAGCTAGATTGATTTTGGATGATTTTGAAGCTAAATAGGTTAGGGTATTTATAGTTGAAGCTTAAGAACTGATCTTGTAAATATCCTAAAATGCAGGGATTAAATTTATAATTTTCACATGCCACTTTTCAACCAAATCATGCTGTCTAATTTTGAATCACCTACAGGCTGCCAAATTAGACTTGGACTTTCAACATTATTAACAATATTAATAGTTATATATTGCTTTTAAGAAAAAAATAATATAAAGCTTTTATGTGTTTAAGGTTTAGGTTTGAACTTAAGTTTGAGTTTCAATCGAACTAAGTCTGAGAATATTATGAGTCCAAGTTTTTTCTAACTCGAGTCGAGCTTAAAAATTTTAAATTCGTTAACTTTCAAGTTGAGTCTAGTCGAGTTTTAATTTTAATTTCGAGTTCAAATTGAACTTAACAATTTAAACAAGTGAGTTTTTAAGTAGAGTCCACCATTAAAGTTTATTAATCCTCGTCGGTAAAAATTGTTGGTCCGTCTCCTGGACTTTATTACGGCACTTGGATTCGTCTTTCCATTGGTTTTTCCTAAAAGCACTGCTCTCTCGGTTGTTCATTGGCCGGAATCCGAGAATAGACGGGCATTATATATCAGCATCTTTGGTCATTGATCTCGCCATAATCCTTTGCCTGCATCGAGAGCAAGGCACCAAATGTTATTTAAGAGGGCATTTTACAAATGTTATTTGTTAAGTTTAACTTTAGCAATCCATAGAGTGTGAAATGACTCACCTGTGGTTTTGGCACCAAGCAATGATGAATATTAGTGTAAAGAAATCTATTCCTTACTTTCTCCACTTATTTTGTATAATTGAAAGTGTTCATGAAAATGGTTGCAAGATTCATTTGTTAGCCTAGTTAATTCAACTATACCCTTCCTCTCATTTTATTAATTATTATGTTATCATTGTTTAAGTACAATTAATTTATTCATTGAGTTTTATTAAATTAATTTTATCATTAGTAAAATATATAGGAGAACGTAAGATCAAATATAAGTAGTCAATTTTTTTTTAATTTAGATGTGAAAAGAAACTTAGATAATATAGACATTATATTAAATCATTCAAGAAAAAATAGTGGAGAACCAGATTCGGTTTCATTGTTTTCCTGGTTGAGATAAGATTCGTCGTTGTGTTGTAGATTTGTAGTCAAATCAACTTTGTTGCTATATCTTCTTGGACTGGAATTGTGTTGAGTTGGTTTTTGAGTATTGGATCGGACAATGTTGTTTCCACACAGAGAAGCATTGGGCATGTTTTATAAACTAAAATCTGTTAAATAAAAAATTAAAAATAAAACAATAACAATATTTTTTTTAACAAGTGAGATTACATGATTTATCACGCAAGCAACGTGCATTGCTTATTACACACAAAAATCCAAATGAAAATAGTAATAGTATGTTAGGGCATACAATTACTAGATTATTTACCGGATGATCCAACCTTTTATTTTCCTCCAATGTTTCTATTCATTCATGGACAAACATCTCGCAGGTGGCAATATATATGTTGCAGCAAAATTGTTTACAAAAACAAATGCTTTCTGTAAACGTCAAACTCAGCTGTAGACGAGAGAAGAGCTGTCTGCGTACCCCATAACCACAAGAAATTAAAAAAAATCAACGATGTTAAACGAGACAAGCAAATACGGGATGAGTAAAATTCGATTAGAATTGAGTATTAACTTGATTAAAACAGACCTGTGAGAAGCTAGAATCGAAAAGTCTCCTTAAGATTCTTGTATTAGCAAGGCATCCAGATTGATTAACGTTTTCAATGGTTTCATGAATTAAATCGAACAAGTCGCCGTATGTCGGACCGGGCCATTTCTTCAGAATCTCGGCCAGTATGTAGGTCAGAGCACCGTTCATCTTCCCAGCAGTGAAGGCCTGCAGCATCAATTCATATATGAATTTATGTTGATATTATACATCATTCGAAGATAATTAATAATGTGCAGTGGGAAAAAATGAAAAATTTATCCCTTACAGAGGTATCAGCAGCAGCTTGATTATCTAGACAAGCACTGATAGAAATGGCTAATCCACCTTTTGTACCTTTATACACACCCGAGGGAGGACTGTTGTCTTCCCATTTTCTCCTGTAAATAAATAATAAGTCCTAATTAGAATACAATGACTATATTCACAATTTAAATATAGTATAAGGACTAATACTAATGATAAAGTAAGAAATCATCAACAGGTTATTTTGAGTAGTGATTCTCCCTTTCCATCCGGAAAAAGTGTTCATTGCATTCACTAATTCATTGAATATCCATTTGCCTCGTCTTTATATCACATAACAAGAAAAAAAAAGAATATATTTATCGTAAATTTTGATAGAATAAAGGGTAAACTTACTCTATACTGTTGTAAACTTTGTGAAGATCTAGAATGGTTCCACTATGACAGGCATCAACAACGGCATGAAGAGTAACGCCACTAGTGAGCGGACGAACGATGAGGGAATTAAGATCATTATCCACGATCATGCCCTTTTCTTTGAAATCAAGGGGACATATGGTTTCATCGAATCCGTCGACCTCGTCGTTGTTAAAATCCGGCACCCGTAACCCATGTCCGGAGTAAAAGAACACCAACGAATCTCCCGGTTGGCAATCCTTCACCAGCCATCGCAACGAATCCTCGATGTTCTTTCTCGTCGGTATAAATTCTCGGTTCGTCTCCTCTTCTACAGTTGTCAATTAATCATCACGATGAAATATTTCATTCGAAACATTGAATTAATCAATATTTTAGCGTCAGTGTATAAGATAATGACGAAGAATACCAGTAAGGACACGAATGCAGTTTCCAGGGTAACCAAATTTAGTGATCAACAACTCTCTCATGTTCTTGACATCGTTAGTGGTTCCTTTAAGCCTATACTGCTTCAAGTTATTGTAAGTGATTCCGCAAAGCACTGCACGCTTGTTCGATCTCGCCTTCGACAACTGTGGGAGATTCAGGGAAGGCGTTATGGTACTTTGATTCGTCTTCCCTCCTCTGATTTTCTCTCTATAAAAGGTTCCTATCCGGCTTCGAAGCCCCCCTTGGCACTGGCTGGATTGTTCTTCAGCTGGAAATGGGAAATAGTTGTTTCTACATGAAGGGCATTCGGCATCATTGCCTTTGGACCTTGATTTTGCTTTCGCCAAGAATCGTTGCCTGCATCGACAGCTGCCGCCCTTGTTTCTTCCCGTTTCCATGGCTGTCGATGAACTGGAAGATGTCGGCTTAAACAAAAAGAGTATTGCTAATGATATTTAGTACTGCTTGTAATTCATAGATTGTAGGTGACTCATGTTTGGGGTTTTATAAGCATCAACAATGAATATTTACTGTAAAAAGATCATTTATTTATTGTTGAAGATTACAATATCTATAAAGCAATTACCCTTTTGTTTTACTAAATTAAAAGAGAGTGTTTCAAAGGTATTTTACAAAGTATTGTTTAATTGGAAGTAGTGTGATTTGAGCATATGGAATCTACGCTCAAAGTGAATTCGGGGAAAATCAATTCCGTAATTTGTTTTCCGAAAAACGTTTTTCCGTGTTTGTTTCACGTAATTCGTTTTCCGGAAAACGTTTTCCCGTGTTTGTTTCACGTAATTCGTTTTCCGGAATGTAATTCATTTTCCTAGTAACAGAATTTCCTTTGTGTTTTCTGTAAAATGACTTACGGATTCATTTTCCGTAAGTCATTTTCCGAACTTTTCACTTCAAAGCAAAAATACTCAAAATAATTTTATTTTATGAATTTAATATTAATAAAATATTTTAATATCATTTTCATCAAAATATTAATTATTAAAATATTTAAAATATATTTATTAATACTTATAATAATATAATATATATTTTAATATATATAAAATAATCAATTATATTATAATAATATAAGATATTATATTTTTATTTTAATAATATATAATAAATTTTTTTATATATTTAATAATGAATAATATTATTTATATATTTCAATAATATTTTAGTAAAGATATTAAAATATACTAATTAATATTTTTAAAATATAATATAGTACTATTACTTTAATAAATAATTAATATAATTTATAAAATTTTATTTCACTAAAATATATACCGAAAAAATGTTTAAATAACATCTTCCAAACATCATAAAATGTTTTCCAGATGTTTTCCAGAAATGTAATTCATTTTACAGAAATGTAATTCATTTTCCAGAATTCAAATTCCAGTAATTCATTTTCCAGTAATTCAAATTACAGTAATTCAAATTCCAGTAATTCATTTTCTGGAAAACCAATTACAGCTAAACAAACAGACCCTAAACCTGACATGGTTTGGTTGGCAAAAGCCTCATATATATATATATATATATATATATTATATGGTTGTTTTCTAAATTTATTTTAATCTAAACTCAGATATATTTTAATGGTCAATTTATTTATTTATACACCGCATAATAATTAATTACGATTATAATTATATCAATGTTTATATATTATATTAATTTTAAATATAGTCATTCTAATATCTTAATGATAATTGTAATGATATCCTTAAGAAATTGACCCTTTATCATGTTTTTTTATTTATAACTTTCATAATGTTTCAAAATATTTTTTTGGAACACATATTTTAATTGTTCAATGTGAATTATTTTACATCAATACCATCAATATTTTGACATATATATATATATATTATAACAAACAGATTGAGATAAATTATCCAAAAAAAAAATAGAACAAGATGCAAATTTACAAATTATCGATTATACCATTAAAGTTTATAACGTAAAATGCATAAACACTACTAATGATACCTTTATGAAAATTATTTAGTTCGATGAAAAAAATTCTTAAAACAAAGCGTTGCTTACAGAATGAGGTGGTTGTTAGGATTATAAACGAGGAGATATAGATTGTGAGTTTTTTGAAATCAATTTGGTTAAAGTTTGGTTAATTTTCGAATTGAATGAATTTGACTCTAGCTTGAATTCGACTCAAATTTTTAATGAGTGGAAGCGACCTATTTCATACTCAGCTAGAAAAGGTTGTAAGTAACTCGAAAAAAATAATATATTCGATTTTTGGAATTTTAGATTTTTGGAATCATATAAATAAATATACATTATATTTTAAATATTTAGATAAAAATATACTCTAAATATTTATTTTTAATTCAATTTTTCTATGTATATTAATGAAATTATTATTTAATCCAAATCAATTAGACTCGAAAATAATTCTCTGTCAACTTTCAGTCTGATTATCATATGAAACAATTTGAAAAGTAACGGTGGATACATAAGATATATGCAAGCCTTTTTCTCTTTGCAGAAGTTTGACATTATTTTGTCAATTTAAGCATAATCGTTCTTTAAGTTGGGTATAGTGGAGTAGGTTGGAGGTATATATGCTTCGACTCACCCGGCTTTTGACAGCAGGAAAATAAATTAATTAATAAAAGGAATTCTCTTCGAATCAATATGCAAAATATGGATAAATAAATTATAGAGTAAATTATACGATTAGTATCTCAACTATCACATTTGTTCTGTTCTAGTCACCTAACTATTTTTTTGTTTCATAATCATACCTATGTTATATTTTAGTTTCATTTTGATCACTCGCCGTTAAAAACTAATGGTGATAATGATGTGTCACCATAAGGTAATATCATGTCATCATTGAATTTTTTTTAAATGTCACGTAAGCAGTTCTGTTAATTTTTTAACGACGGGTGACCAAGATTAAATAAAAACGTAATGTTTAGGTATAATTTTAAAAATAATAATAGTTGAATAACCAAAATAGAATAGAAGTGATAATTGAGGTACTAAACATGTAGTTCACCCAAAATTATAAGGTATGGTAATAAGATATATTTAAAAATTATACTTAAATTTTAAAAATATATTATTATAAAAATATTCATGTATTTTAAATATATATTATAAAATAAATTTAAAATATTTTCAAAATAAATTAAATATCATATACTTATATAAGGCATCATTTATATAGTAGTCTACTCTATATTTTGTATTATATAAAAAGTTTTTCTATTAGTTTATAAAAATGTTTAAATATATATCTAGTCCCTTTAATTATATTTAAAAATTAAATGAGTGTGATCAATTGAATCTTTATTTTAAAAAATTATGATCAATTGAACTCCTCTAACTACATTGATCAAACTAATGATGAGTAAAGTGTGTTGATGTGGTAGCATCTAATTGCTAGAATTTTTTTCTTAAAAACTATTAAATTTAAAAATATATACATATTTTATAATATGATCAGTCAAAAACATCACATTAGATCATCAAAACAACCGTCGAATTAAAATATTTTCTTTTTCTTTCAATGAAGTATTCAAACATGATATGGTCTACACGAATGTCATTTGCAAAAAATCATACGATCTAGAAAAGTTCCTCAAATAATTTAACCTCACACTTATTGAACTTCTACACTTACTTCTCTCGAAATGTTTGCAACACAATGCAGAGATGATAATCACGCTCATCCTTCGATCTCAAATACATTAAGATGTAATTAATGAAGATCACTATGAACCGGTTAAAATAAAATTGAAAGAGTTTACTCATTTGATCCATGAAAAGTTGTCGAAATATTGGTGAGTCCAAACGACATCATCAAAGACTTACAATGGTCATATCAAATTTTGAACGTCGTTACAATGATTTTATGTGGTTTATTCATTTTAACTTGGATAGAGAGCTATTATTGATGGTTTTAGAGAGAATGGTGAGTTACAGATGTTGAATGACGCTTGGCTTATAAAAAGAAAATTGGAACAAGATCACTTTAATCTTACATAGAATTTATATAAGACTATTAGTATTAGTGTCAAGTCTAGTGTTATAATGACTACTTATAAGTTGGCATGTTGAATAGATATGATCGTCTGAAATAGATTTTGATATGATAGATCACGTAAGCCTATTAGAGATCAACCAAAGGATTGTGACTGGTTGGAGGATATGGATTTCTGGAGGCTTTGATCAACTAAAGAATTTCTTCAGAGATTTCGATATACAAAGATTGTGACAATGAAGATTTAACTTACGAAAGAGATCCGGAGGAGATATAACAAGTTGATATCCCGAAATTAAGCAAATCTAATTCCATTGAAAAATAATTAAAATATTTTCAGTTAAATAATAATTTATTTATTATAAAATATTCTTCTATTCTCATGTCTTCATATAATTTTTGAATAATAATTTAAAACTTTGAACACAAGACATGTGCTTTTATGTACTACTACACTCTTTCGTTGCGGGTAGCGTAAATGATTTTGGCGATCACCGGTTTTACCTTCTCGGTTGTCTTGATGATGACCAAGAACGAAAGTCGATAAAACCCAACCATTGCGAACAAGATAGCAAGATCAACCCACTTGGAGTATCCCATTTCCAAATGCCATGTTTCCTTCAAAATTTCTTCACCGGTAACGATTGGGACCCTCCATTTCCACCTTGTACATTGGGGAATGTCATGCCTTCAAACTCGTTCTTGAACAATGCCTGGTAAGCATACTTATGGAAAGCAATGTGGTAGAAGGGATATTTCAACAACGGCTTCGGAAGATCGGTCGGTAACCGGAAGAATCCTCCAACCAGAATCATTAGACCTTGAACCCCGGCACCTACTATGATTCCCATCAGGAAATTGGGCACCAAACTGGCCACAATCATCATTAGGCTTTCCACCAACATCATGCAAACAAATAGTACGGTTACAAAGAAGAAGAAATGTTCATATCCTTTGTGAAGTCCGGGAGGGAAATAAGTAATTGCTCCTGGAATGAGTGCTACCAGTGCCAAGAATGGAAGCGCAGACAACGTGTTTCCAACCACAAAGGCAGTCACTCCATAGTGCCCGTTTAATCTTTCACGTTCGAATACCTGTCAAAGAAAAAAAATAAAAGTTAATCATCTGATTCATTGACGGTGTATATAATATGTGACATCAGTTCACAAACCTTCATGTCCTCAATAAAAGAAGGGAATCCACCAATGGTCATGAAAGTTAGAAATGACACCACAAACATCGTCAGTGAACCTCTAGCCTGAATAAAAAAGATCAGAATTGTTAGAACTGGTTTAGTTTTAAATGTTCATATGATTGATTAGCAGTGTTGAATTCTAGTCATATGTTTTCAATTACAAACCTGAATCGATCCATAGTCCGTGCCGATTCCGCTAAACACAGTGCCAAGGACGACAGATAATGAGATATAGATACCAAGACGCATCCAATAGTAGCCGTGATCTCGAGACATGTTGATGAAAGATCGTCTAGTAA